CCCCAAAACCCCAAAACCCCAAAACCCCAAAACCCCTAACATTTAGTAAATTATTGAAATAAAATGAAGCTTCTCGTTAATAAAAAGCCAAGTGTAAAATACGGTTCTGCTCTAAAAAGAGTAAGTCCAACTTTCAAACTTAAAGGGTAGCTTAGCATCGGCTATCTGACAGCTTTTAAATTCTTGCTATTTTTTTCATTTGTCATCACCTTGTTTATAACTTTAAAGTAATATGTCTGCAACTTGTTTAATTTATTCTGCAGACATTGTCAATTTCGAAGAAATTCGATCAGGTTAGGATAAGAAAATAAGCTAAACAGGTAGATTTTAGTAGCATGATCGTTAGAGATTATAATGTGGAAGCAACATGATATTACAGATGCCAGTGAAAAGTATGATTGATGCAAACAAAGCAAGAGTATAGTATTTCTCCATCCAAAAATCTCATTCCTGTGGTCAAAGACCACAGGAATGAGATGGCTAGGATTGAGCAAAAAGACTTCCTATGGATTGCTGAACATCTACTATCAACTCATGATCGAATTCATGGGTGAGAAATCTTGATTCCTGAGACATATTTCTTTACAAAAGGTGCATCTAAATTAATGATCAAGAGTGACAAAAATAACTTTTTAACATCTGTGAAAGTTCCTGAAAAGTTAGATCTCACTGAAATTAGGAAGGATTTACCTCAATTTACAAGGAATCGAATGACTGCTGCTAAATATTCGAATGATGTTAATTTTGACAGAAGTAAGCGGAATAAAAATAGGGATTTAGAGCTTACATCTAAATAAACCAGTCGATGAAGACACGAAGCTCTACCCTCATGACTATGCAAGAGTTGTTTACATCCCTCAAAAGGGGAAGGATCCTCAGATTCAGCTCCTCGGAGAAAAATCCCTTGTTAAGATGTTTCAAATTAGGAAAAAGGCAAATTTTTGGCAAACTGTTATGATCATGCAGAGTATTGTTCCTTATGAAATCAACTCAAAAAGGAGATGTTATAAGTACGCCTTCAGGATAATTCATGAGGAAGCGATCAAGAGGCTTGACAAGATACAATTCAGGTGTTATAACATCTTTGTGAAAATCTGTTTTTACTTAGACACAATGTATAACTATGAAATTGAAGAAGCTGAAATGGAGTTCTTACTGGATGATGAAGACCAGCTCTGGGTCATTGATATTCCCAAAACAATGATCCGTTATAAAGAGGGATATGAAGAGTCTACTGCAGTGAATGGAGTCACTTACTGACATCCAGCCAGGAAGGATCCAGAGCAAATGATGAATAAGAAGGATGAAACACTTCAATATGAATATCAGGATTTCATGAAGACCACAAGTGAAATTGAAAAGAGAATTGATAATATGGAGCACCCTGAACAAAGAGAGAAACCCCAGACTTCACCATTTGAAAAATAAATACAGGTAAGCCATTGAGGATGAGGAATAGAGCTATTTTTGGAATAATGATGGACCAGTACAAAAATTTGAAGAGCAAATATGGATTCGATGAAGAATCCGACACAGATAAGACTCAGCCATGTAAAAACTAATTTTTAATATGTAGCAATGAGTAAACTCTCTTTTTCTCCATCTAAGAAAATGAAAGGAATAAAATTTAAAAATTTTAAAACTAAGAAAGCTTCAATGAGCAACAAGAAGAGGATCAAAATAAAACCACTTATGGATAGTTTAGTAAATTGGGGAGCCAATCGTCCAAACTCATCGTTGAATTCTAGGTTTGATCTCAGAAAAATGACTTCATTTAATTCTAGAAAAAGAAGTATAGAGACTCCAAGTACAAGGCTAGGAACTATAATTCCACATTTTAGAGAGAACAATCTATGGACTCCTTTCAACAAGAAACGGAATTCCTTACAATTTAACTGTCAAAGAAGTGGCTGCTTCGGGAAGAAGAGGAGCCATGCAGCTCCTTCTCTTCAGATCAGCAACTTCCCTGTCAAGCACTTTAATATATACTCATAAAGGCTTCAACAGACCCAGAATAAATAGGGGTTTTGGGGTTTTGGGGTTTTGGGGTTTTGGGG